CGAGGGTAGAAACATTGGGCGTGTTTCTTTACACCGGTTGCCTGTGTTCACCCATCAGTAAAATGAGTACCTGGGTGTTAGTCGACTGGTGTGGGTCACATCCTGGGACAAAACTGACCTAATTTGCCCGAAATGCTCTGCATAACAAGCGGCTTTCTATATAGTAGTATGTCATTGATGTCAGCTAGGACTGTATACCTTGTACATGTACTTGTAGTAAATAAAGATCTTATTATCATTATATTTGTGGGGAAGTGCTAAACCCAGTGGGTCATACAATGCCTGGGGAATGGAAGGCAATCAGGTTTGATCCAAGGAAGTAAAGATCCTTCTCCAGCATCAAGAGTGGTCAGAGAGAAAACTGCTGTAGAGAGAAATGACCTGGGATATTACACACCTTTACATTTGCCTCACAAGTGAAGACTTTTGCTAATAATTTTTAATCCCTTGTAATATTTACTACCTGTGAAGAATTTATAGGCGAGTACAAATAGAAAGTGCATCTGTCTCGCACTCAGCAGACGGAGGATCGAGCCTCCACCACGTCTTGCACTGAATGACTCATACAGGTTTCGAACTTAATTTTTTTTAATTTTTAACACATCCGCCATCTTCCACTGAGACGGGGTTCCTCAAAAAAGAAACACTTTCACCATCATTCCCACAATCACTGTCTTTGCAGAGGCGCTCAGATATGACAGTTCAGATATCACTCCAAACAGCCAATATCCCAAAACCCTCTTTTAAAGTGCAGGCATTGTACTTCCCACCTCCAGGACTCAAGTCCAGCTAACCAGTTTTTCTGAGTCCCTTAATATGAATTAAATAAATGCAAAGAAGTAAATTTTTAATGTTGTAGCCATTAATAGGATAATATAACACATATTAAGCATTTCATTTTAATATACCATACAGAATTCCATTATACAGTGGACCCCCGGTTAACGATATTTTTTCACTCCAGAAGTATGTTCAGGTGCCAGTACTGACTGAATTTGTTCCCATAAGAAATATTGTGAAGTAGATTAGTCCATTTCAGACCCCCAAACATACATGTACAAACGCACTTACATAAATACACTTACATAATTGGTCGCATTCGGAGGTAATCGTTATGCGGGGGTCCACTGTATATATATACATATATAGAGCATATATACACTATGAAAGTAATAGTCAAAGGGAAGAGGTAGAGTATTGAGGGAAGGACAATAGTGTGAAAATATGAGTTGAGGTTCAAATAGCAAATTGGTGACAGATAACATTATTATTATGCTAAAAAATGGTAAACTCATGAGGGTTATACAGCACTGCAAGAAAGATGGAAGCTAACTGCAGGGAAAAGTGGTGTGAAAGGTGTACTTATGTGCTTATTGGAAGTGTAAAAGGTGTACTTATGTGCTAAAAAGTAAAGGTAGTACAGTGGACCCCCAGTTAACGATATTTTTTCACTCCAGAAGTATGTTCAGGTGCCAGTACTGACCGAATTTGTTCCCATAAGAAATATTGTGAAGTAGATTAGTCCATTTCAGACCCCCAAACATACATGTACAAACACACTTACATAAATACACTTACATAATTGGTCACATTCGGAGGTAATCGTTATGCGGGGGTCCACTGTACTCATGTGTTTTGAAGCAGTGTGAAGGTAGTACTCATGTGTTTTGAAGCAGTGTGAAGGTACTACTCATGTGTTTTGAAGCAGTGTGAAGGTAGTACTCATGTGTCTTGAAGCAGTGTGAAGGTAGTACTCGTGTGTCTTGAAGCAGTGTGAAGGGTGTACTCATGTGCTACAAAAAAGTCAAGTTATACTAGTCTACAGTGATGTCAGTTAATAGATAGTTGGAAAAAGGGAAATCAACCTAGATGAGCATTTGGCTACTTGACTCACTTTGAGAAACAAGTTAATATTTTTAATGCTGACTGTTCAAAGATGACATCCATATCCATTTTGCACAATATATCTAAGTTTTTCTCCTTTTTCTAAATAGCTCTTGTTCTTTTTTATTTCTTCTATTGTCCATGGGGAAGTGGAAAAGAATCTTTCCTCCGTAAGCCATGCGTGTCGTATGAGGCGACTAAAATGCCGGGAGCAATGGGCTAGTAACCCCTTCTCCTGTATACAATTACTAAAAAAGAGAAGAAGAAAAACTTTATAAAACTGGGTTGCTTAAATGTGCGTGAATGTAGTGCGGATGACAAGAAACAGATGATTGCTGATGTTATGAATGAAAAGAAGTTGGATGTCCTGGCCCTAAGCGAAACAAAACTGAAGGGGTAGGAGAGTTTCAGTGGGGGAAATAAATGGATTAAATCTGGAGTATCTGAGAGAGTTAGAGCAAAGGAAGGGGTAGCAGTAATGTTAAATGATCAGTTATGGAAGGAGAAAAGAGAATATGAATGTGTAAATTCAAGAATTATGTGGATTAAAGTAAAGGTTGGATGCGAGAAGTGGGTCATAATAAGCGTGTATGCACCTGGAGAAGAGAGGAATGCAGAGGAGAGAGAGAGATTTTGGGAGATGTTAAGTGAATGTATAGGAGCCTTTGAACCAAGTGAGAGAGTAATTGTGGTAGGGGACTTGAATGCTAAAGTAGGAGAACTTTTAGAGAGGGTGTGGTAGTAAGTTTGGGTGCCAGGTGTAAATGATAATGGGAGCCCTTTGATTGAACTTTGTATAGAAAGGGTGTTAGTTATAGGTAATACATATTTAAGAAAAAGAGGATAAATAAGTATACACGATATGATGTAGGGCGAAATGACAGTAGTTTGTTGGATTAGTTTGGTAATAAAAGACTGTTGAGTAGACTTCAGGATGTACATGTTTATAGAGGGGCCACAGATATATCAGATCACTTTCTAGTTGTAGCTACACTGAGAGTAAAAGGTAGATGGGATACAAGAGAATAGAAGCATCAGGAAGAGAGAGGTGAAGGTTTATAAAACTAAAAGAGGAGCAGTTAGGGTAAGATATAAACAGCTATTGGAGGATAGATGGGCTAATGAGAGCATAGGCAATGGGTCGAAGAGGTATGGGGTAGGTTTAAAAATGTAGTGTTAGAGTGTTCACAGAAGTTTGTGGTTACAGGAAAGTGGGTGCAGGAGGGAAGAGGAGCGATTGGTGGAATGATGATGTAAAGAGAGTAGTAAGGGAGAAAAAGTTAGCATATGAGAAGTTTTTACAAAGTAGAAGTGATGCAAGGAGGGAAGAGTATATGGAGAAAAAGAGAGAAGTTAAGAGAGTGGTGAAGCAATGTAAAAAGAGAGCAAATGAGAGAGTGGGTGAGATGTTATCAACAAATTTTGTTGAAATAAGAAAAAGTTTTGGAGTGAGATTAACAAGTTAAGAAAGCCTAGAGAACAAATGGATTTGTCAGTTAAAAATAGGAGAGGAGAGTTATTAAATGGAGAGTTAGAGGTATTGGGAAGATGGAAGGAATATTTTGAGGAATTGTTAAATGTTGATGAAGATAGGGAAGCTGTGATTTCGTGTATAGGCAAGGGGGAATAACATCTTGTAGGAGTGAGGAAGAGCCAGTTGTGAGTGTGGGGGAAGTTCGTGAGGCAGTAGTAAAATGAAAGGGGGTAAGGCAGCCGGGATTTGAGGGGATAAAGATAGAAATGTTAAAAGCAGGTGGGATATAGTTTTGGAGGGGTTTTGGTGCAATTATTTAATAAATGTATGGAAGAGGGTAAGGTACCTAGGGATTGGCAGAGAGCATGCATAGTTCCTTTGTATAAAGGCAAAGGGGATAAAAGAGAGTGCAAAAATTATAGGGGATAAGTCTGTTGAGTGTACCTGGTAAAGTGTATGGTAGAGTTATAATTGAAAGAATTAAGAGTAAGACGGAGAATAGGATAGCAGATGAACAAGGAGGGTTTAGGAAAGGTAGGGGTGTGTGGACCAGGTGTTTACAGTGAAACATATAAGTGAACAGTATTTAGATAAGGCTAAAGAGGTCTTTGTGGCATTTATGGATTTGGAAAAGGCGTATGACAGGGTGGATAGGGGGGCAATGTGGCAGATGTTGCAAAGTGTATGGTGTAGGAGGTAGGTTACTGAAAGCAGTGAAGAGTTTTTTACGAGGATAGTGAGGCTCAAGTTAGAGTATGTAGGAAAGAGGGAAATTTTTTCCCAGTAAAAGTAGGCCTTAGACAAGGATGTGTGATGTCACCGTGGTTTTTTAAATATATTTATAGATGGGGTTGTAAAGAGAAGTAAATGCGAGGGTCTTGGCAAGAGGCGTGGAGTTAAAAGATAAAGAATCACACACAAAGTGGGAGTTGTCACAGCTGCTCTTTGCTGATGACACTGTGCTCTTGGGAGATTCTGAAGAGAAGTTGCAGAGATTGGTGGATGAATTTGGTAGGGTGTGCAAAAGAAGAAAATTAAAGGTGAATACAGGAAAGAGTAAGGTTATGAGGATAACAAAAAGATTAGGTGATGAAAGATTGAATATCAGATGGGAGGGAGAGAGTATGGAGGAGGTGAACGTATTCAGATATTTGGGAGTGGACGTTTTCAGCGGATGGGTCTATGAAAGATGAGGTGAATCATAGAATTGATGAGGGAAAAAAGAGTGAGTGGTGCACTTAGGAGTCTGTGGAGACAAAGAACTTTGTCCTTGGAGGCAAAGAGGGGAATGTATGAGAGTATAGTTTTTACCAACGCTCTTATATGGGTGTGAACGGTGGGGGATGAATGTTGCAGCGAGGAGAAGGCTGGAGGCAGTGGAGATGTCATGTCTGAGGGCAATGTGTGGTGTGAATATAATGCAGAGAATTCGTAGTTTGGAAGTTAGGAGGAGGTGCGGGATTACCAAAACTGTTGTCCAAGGGCTGAGGAAGGGTTGTTGAGGTGGTTCGGACATGTAGAGAGAATGGAGCGAAACAGAATGACTTCAAGAGTGTATCAGTCTGTAGTGGAAGGAAGGCGGGGTAGGGGTCGCCTAGGAAAGGGGTTGGAGGGAGGGGGTAAAGGAGGTTTTGTGTCGAGGGGCTTGGACTTCCAGCAGGCATGCGTGAGCGTGTTTGATAGGAGTGAATGGAGACAAATGGTTTTTAATACTTGACGTGCTGTTGGAGTGTGAGCAAAGTAACATTTATGAAGGGATTCAGGGAAACCGGCAGGCCGGACTTGAGTCCTGGAGATGGGAAGTACAGTGCCTGCACTCTGAAGGAGGGGTGTTAATGTTGCAGTTTAAAAACTGTAGTGTAAAGCACCCTTCTGGCAAGACAGTGATGGAGTGAATGATGGTGAAAGTTTTTCTTTTTCGGGCCACCCTGCCTTGGTGGGAATCGGCCGGTGTGATAATAAAAAATAAATAAAAATATCTAAGACAGTACAGTGCTCCTACATTGTTGCATACGTTTCATATGAGGAAACTAAAAAGCATATACCTAAGTAGTTAAGAGATCGTTAGATATGTGGATGGTGGGTGCAATGTCACTCTTTTTGCCTCACTTGTTTACTTCTGGCCAAAATACTTTGCATAACAATGGACTTTTATTAGAAATTGCCATACACTGTTTTCCTGAAACTTTAACCAACTTGTAGCTATACATATCTTAACACCATCCAATGTAACCTTGATGTATTCTAAAAAGATAAACATCTTTATCTTTATATAACTTTAGTAATCTAGAAAACTCAAGAAATAATCAGAAAAATTAAGAAATACAGTGGACCCCCGGTTCACGATCAGCTCCCAATGCGACCAATTATGTAAGTGTATTCATGTAAGTGCGTTTGTATGTGTATGTTTGGGGGTCTGAAATGGAGTAATCTAATTCACAATATTCCTTATGGGAACAAATTCGGTCAGTACTGGCACCTGAACATACCTCTGGAATGAAACAATATCATAAACCAGGGGTCCACTGTACTTGGAAAACTCAAGAAATAATCATATTTGGTGAAAAAAAGTAAAAGCCCCATGGGTAGAAGACTTCACAACTAATGTAAAAGTTGGAATAAATCCCTAGACAATGTTTCAGTTCCTCCTGCACCATTATTAATTCACAAAACAATAAAAAGGCACAATACCATGACTGTAACAATACAGAAATAACCCACAGATAGGAGAGAGAAGCTCATGATGATGTTTCTGTCCAACTTGGACCATTAAGGATTAAGGATTTTAATTTCTTTGAGTAGTTTACAATGTGTAATTACAATTTTGATTTGCTGAGTACAAAGAAATCCACTATCATGTCAGGGCATTTCGGGCAGACTAAACCTAATGCTTAACAGACTACTTAATACTAGGCATATATAACATAGCTGGTTCGAACTGAACATCGATTTTTTATATTTCAGCAGAGGCAGTTAGTGGTTTAGCAGAAACTGAATTTATAATTAAGGCAAATTGATTAACAGGTTACAGTATTATATTTTGGCACATTTTACATAATGAGATTGAAACCATTTTAATTTTAGCGTGTGAATAGTTAACGGTCAAAGTTGGACCAAAATATCATCGTAAGTTTTTTCTCCTATGTGCGGGTTATTTGTGTATTATTATGTCACAACTGATACAGTAAAGGGAAATAAGCAACAGAGGATGTAAACATCTAAAGACTTTTCATGGATATATGGGGTAAGTTGTGAACCATTAAATAGTTCTTAAGATTCCTGCTTGTTGCCCAAAAAACTAAAATATTCACCATATTATAGTTACAGGGAGGAGTTAAACTTGTAGGGTATCATACAGCACTTAAGGAATACAAAGTAATCAGGTTAGATGTCAGGATCCGGAGGATAGCTTTAATTCCTCGAATCAAGATGTTGCGCTATTAGTGCTACGGACCCCAATGGAATAAGTCACTTTGTATGAATTTTGGGTTATCCTAGGTAATTTACTCTATGTATGATAACTGTACGTGAGTGTATCCATACCTAAATAAACTTACTATAACAATAAAGTTATTAATAAATGTAAAAGAAACATTATTTTATAGACTGTTAACCTCCTAATAAATTTCTCACAGATTAAATACTTTTGTTATATTTCACTAATGAAAGGCATTATGGGTAGACAGTTAAGAATAAAAAGTATAGGAAAATGTTCAGAGGAAATTTTTACAGGCAGAACTTTGAGAGAAATTATGGTTCTTTCAGCAATTATTAGTATTTATCTCATCCTAGAGACAATAAACCTCAATATTTTGTTTTTAACACACCAGCCATCTCATACCGAGACAGGGTGATTAAAAAAAAAAAAGAGGAAACACATGCACCATCACTCATTCAGTTGCTGCCTTGCCAGAAGCACTATCACATCACAGTTCACAAGGTCCTCTGAACTGCATCATCTTCGCCCTTCCTTTAGTGTGCAGGCAAATATTTTCAATATTAACGGCATAAATCTCGCATCAACTGAAGACTGCCACTGCGGTATCCACTTCCAAAGTGATTCCTGTGAATAAAATCATTAAAATTTTAGAATTCATTTTAAACCAAAGCACTAAATGTACAACATAAGGAATATCATAAAATAACATAAAAATGAAGGCACTGAAGTTTCAAGACTTTTTTGGGGCCGTTTAACCTTAGATTTTTAAAAGATTTAATTAAAATTAGCATACAAATGTGGACCTTAATTAGAATATGCAAAATGAACAATGTTTGGTCATCAATAAAGCTAATAATTTCAGCCATTACAAAATTTCCATGTGTGTCGTAAAAGGCGACTGAAATGTCACAATTATATCACACAAATGTTAAACCTAACTTTGTTATTTTTTTTTTTAAATACACTACCTGAATGAACAGCAATGCATGCAACCACATGACCTGTCTTTGTAATACTCATTTGTATTTTATAGTTATCTGTTTACAATAATGTCTTATCACTGATTTCATCATTGCTTAGTTAATCTTAAGTTAATTTTAAGCCAGCCCGTAATGCTATGCATATAAGTGGCTTTCGCATGCTGCTCTTACCTGTATTTTTTTGTACCTCTGTATTTTTTATTATTATCACACCGGCCGATTCCCACCAAGGCAGGGTGGCCCGAAAAAGAAAAACTTTCACCATCATTCACTCCATCACTGTCTTGCCAGAAGGGTGCTTTACACTACAGTTTTTAAACTGCAACATTAACACCCCTCCTTCAGAGTGCAGGCACTGTACTTCCCATCTCCAGGACTCAAGTCCGGCCTGCCGGTTTCCCTGAATCCCTTCATAAATGTTACTTTGCTCACACTCCAACAGCACGTCAAGTATTAAAAACCATTTGTCTCCATTCACTCCTATCAAACACGCTCACGCATGCCTGCTGGAAGTCCAAGCCCCTCGCACACAAAACCTCCTTTACCCCCTCCCTCCAACCCTTCCTAGGCCGACCCCTACCCCGCCTTCCTTCCACTACAGACTGATACACTCTTGAAGTCATTCTGTTTCGCTCCATTCTCTCTACATGTCCGAACCACCTCAACAACCCTTCCTCAGCCCTCTGGACAACAGTTTTGGTAATCCCGCACCTCCTCCTAACTTCCAAACTACGAATTCTCTTGCATTATATTCACACCACACATTGCCCTCAGACATGACATCTCCACTGCCTCCAGCCTTCTCCTCGCTGCAACATTCATCACCCACGCTTCACACCCATATAAGAGCGTTGGTAAAACTATACTCTCATACATTCCCCTCTTTGCCTCCAAGGACAAAGTTCTTTGTCTCCACAGACTCCTAAGTGCACCACTCACTCTTTTTCCCTCATCAATTCTATGATTCACCTCATCTTTCATAGACCCATCCGCTGACACGTCCACTCCCAAATATCTGAATACGTTCACCTCCTCCATACTCTCTCCCTCCAATCTGATATTCAATCTTTCATCACCTAATCTTTTTGTTATCCTCATAACCTTACTCTTTCCTGTATTCACCTTTAATTTTCTTCTTTTGCACACCCTACCAAATTCATCCACCAATCTCTGCAACTTCTCTTCAGAATCTCCCAAGAGCACAGTGTCATCAGCAAAGAGCAGCTGTGACAACTCCCACTTTGTGTGTGATTCTTTATCTTTTAACTCCACGCCTCTTGCCAAGACCCTCGCATTTACTTCTCTTACAACCCCATCTATAAATATATTAAACAACCACGGTGACATCACACATCCTTGTCTAAGGCCTACTTTTACTGGGAAAAAATTTCCCTCTTTCCTACATACTCTAACTTGAGCCTCACTATCCTCGTAAAAACTCTTCACTGCTTTCAGTAACCTACCTCCTACACCATACACTTGCAACATCTGCCACATTGCCCCCCTATCCACCCTGTCATACGCCTTTTCCAAATCCATAAATGCCACAAAGACCTCTTTAGCCTTATCTAAATACTGTTCACTTATATGTTTCACTGTAAACACCTGGTCCACACACCCCCTACCTTTCCTAAAGCCTCCTTGTTCATCTGCTATCCTATTCTCCGTCTTACTCTTAATTCTTTCAATTATAAAATTTATAAATAAATAAATAAATAAACAAGGGGCTATAACCCCTTCTCCTGTGCACATTACTAAATGTAAAAAGAAGAAAACCTTGTAGCTTTTTTTGTTTTTGATCACCCTGCCTTGGTGGGAGACGGACGGTGTGTCAAATTTTTTTTTTTTTTTTTACAAAATTTCATGATATAACATTGCCTTGATACAAGAGTTAGCAGTGAAATATGACATTCCACTGTATATCCATGACCCTCTAAGAAGAGAGTGTTTGACCCAAGGAATTGGTGCTGCCCAACACTTTCTCAGATCAAACTCTATTACTTCCTATTTCTCAGGCAGTGTGTGACCTTCAGAGGTTTAGTAAAGTTAAAGCAGTACAGTGGATCCCCGGTTTACGATATTATTTCATTCCAGAAGTATATTCAGGTGCCAGTACTGACCGAATTTGTTCCCATAAGGAATATTGTGAATTAGATTAGTCCATTTCAGACTCCCAAACATACACGTACAAACGCACTTACATAAATACACTTACATAATTGCTCGCATTAGGAGCTGATCGTAAACCGGGGGTCCACTGTATAGGTTATTTTCTAGGGTATATAGTATTATAAAGGAGGGCCCCATGTATACAGAACCTCTTTTCAATGTCCTACATTTTTGTTGGCTTTCAATTGAGCCATTGTTTCGTCTGCTGGTGATGAAATGAAATGAAAATATTTATTTCCTTGCAAAGTTTACAATGTGTGGTTTACATATTACAAAATATTAATTACAAAGAAAGCCACTAGCATGCCTAGGCATTTTGGGCAAACTAATCCTAATTCTTCTTGACTAATCTATATTGACACAGGTTATGGAGCAGTACATTTTAATATTCCCTATTGCATATTGATATCCAAGTTAGGTAATTAAAAAGATTATCATTAAAAAATTCACATGGAACACTAAAGAGGGTGCTGTACATAAAGGGCCCTCCTGTATAGCACTGCTTACCAGTGATTGATATTGTGGAAGAGTTTGTACAGCTTATGTCTATTATTGAAGCCAGGAGCTTTGGGAATGATGCTGTGATATTCGTCCCAGAACCTTCTACTAAAGCCTCCAAACATTGCGGTGATTGCTAAATCAAACTCGTGATGTCCATAAAAGGAGGCTGGGTCGAATATCACTGAAAATATAAATTTAAATAACTAAGAGTCAAAATAAGGTAGACTCTAAAAAATTAAATTAATATAAAGATTAGCTCTTCAATTTATTGCCTTAACCCTTTGACTGTCGCGGCCGTATATATACGTTTGCGAGGTACCGTGTTTGACGTATATATACTCATAAATTCTAGCGGCTTCAAATCAGGCAGGAGAAAGCTAGTAGGCCCACATGTGAGAGAATGGGTCTGTGTGGTCAGTGTGCACCACATAAAAAAAATCCTGGAGCACGCAGTGCATAATGAGAAAAAAAAAACTCCGACCGTTTTTTTTAATTAAAATGCTGACTTTGTGGTCTATTTTCGTATAGTATTTGTGGTTGTATTCTCGTTTTCCTTGGTCTCATTTGATAGAATGGAAACTATATTATAGAAATGGAGGTGATTTTGATTAATTTTACTATAAAAAGAACCTGGAAATGGAGCACAAAGTACAGGAAATGTTTGATTTTTGCCGATGTTCAAAAGTGAACAAATGATGTCATTGTCCAATAAATGTCCAAATAGCCATTCTAATACGCAGTCATGAATGGTTGATGTAATTTTTACAATTATTACAGTATTGCAGTAGTCTGCATAACAGTAAATCTTCTATTTTTTGTTTGAATAAAATTTCAAAATAAAAAGCAAGAGTAATATCACAGGGACCTGGAGACATGACTGATGAACAAGAAAATGTTATTTTAGAGCCAGGAATGTCTGCATTGTTCATTCTGGACCTTATTTTGAAATTGTCGTATTTTTTAATTTTCGTGAAATTGGCCAAATTGCAAATTTCTGACCATGTTATTGGTAGTTTGAAATCGGTAAATGGGCAGTTTCTTGTACTCAATCGATAGAAAAAATAGAGTTCTGAAGAAATAGTTATGAGTTTGGTTGACTGGAATAACGGAATTAGCCGAAAATAGGGCTCAAAGTGGGCGAAATTGCCGATTTTTAAATATCGCCGAAGTCGCTAACTTCGCGAGAGCGTAATTCCGTCAGTTTTCCATCAAATTTCGTTTTTCTGGTGTCTTTACAATCGGGAAAAGATTCTCTATCATTTCATAAGAAAAAATAATTTTTTTTTTTTTCGAATATTTTGCGACACCAGAAGCAACTTCAGGATTTGGCCCTTCGACAGTCAAAGGGTTAAGCATGTATGTATGAATGCATATTTTTTTTTATTATCACACTGGCCGATTCCCACCAAGGCAGGGTGGCCTGAAAAAGAAAAACTCTCACCATCATTCACTCCATCACTGTCTTGCCAGAAGGGTGCTTTACACTACAGTTTTTAAACTGCAACATTAACACCCCTCCTTCAGAGTGCAGGCACTGTACTTCCCATCTCCAGGACTCAAGTCCGGCCTGCCGGTTTCCCTGAATCCCTTCATAAATGTTACTTTGCTCACACTCCAACAGCACGTCAAGTATTAAAAACCATTTGTCTCCATTCACTCCTATCAAACACGCTCACGCATGCCTGCTGGAAGTCCAAGCCCCTCGCACACAAAACCTCCTTTACCCCCTCCCTCCAACCTTTCCTAGGTATGAATGCATGTATACGTATATGTATATGTCTTAATACCCTTCAGATATGGGAAAGTGGTTGACAAAATCTTTTCAGATTGCTAAGGATCCATCATCAGGGAAAAAGAAATGAATAAAAGTGGAAAAACTATGCAAGACTGAACTTTTTGGCTGGCTAACACTGCCAGCCCAAGAGTTGCATCCAGCCCCTTAATTAAAGACAGGATCGAAGAGAATCAAAAATACAAGAGACACATTTGGTTCCGATGTTAATTTCACTTTTTTGCTTTTTTATTTAACAATTCAATAGGTATTAATCTGCCCATACACATATTTTTATTAATTACCACAATTTAACATAATGAAAAACTGAAAATAAAAATGCAATCTTGAATTAATTATCCAATAATTAATAATCTGAGAATTATAAAAGTGTACATTAAAAGCTTATACAGTAGACTCCCAAATCCAAGAGTTATATATTCCAAAACCTTACCATGTATAGCAGCAAATCCTATATATAAATCATTTTTGGTTTACATACATACCTATGATGAAGTTTAACTGATAAATTATGCACAATAAGTCAAGAATTAGCAGTTTTTCACTGATGGGAAACACTTCACAGTTTCTCTTAGGCTCTGAAGAACTGAGAGCATTGCTGCTTTTGCACTTTCGGGCCATTATTAAGCAAAATTAAGGGCACATTTTCGGCCAAGGTAAACCGTGGATAACTGAAACCACGGAAATGAAATCAATGGATACGGGAATTCTACTGTATATTATCCTTACACAATTATGATGATCTATACGAGAAAGTAGAGAACAATTCTTCCTCTGCAAGCCATGCATGTCGTAAGAGGAGATTAAGACAATGGAAGTGAGGGGCTAGTAACCCCCTTCTCCTGTATAAATTACTAAATGTAAAAGAATAACTTTCTGAAAGCATTTCTTCATTTTTAGGTCACCCTACCTCAGTGGGAGAGAGCCGCTGTATATATATAAAAATGATGATACATACCAGGGCAGTCAGACAATTCTGCAGCATTACCACCCCACAAGTCTCCATGAAGAAGAGAAGGCTTCACTTCTATATCCTTAAAATACTGAGGAATCTTCAGCTGAAGGTGGGACCAAAGATCTCTAGCTTCACGGTCTCCATACTGCCATGTAGAAGCATATGAGTTATTTAATAATTTTATCCCAGATTAAGTTTATATACTGTAATGGAACATGCAGTAAATCATTAGTTTAATGGACCAACAGGGAAAGACGGATAGAAGATAATGGCAACTGTGGTGGATAGTGATGGCTCTGAACTGTGGTCATAAATATACAGTATGTGTGAACTCTCAGTACAATGGACCTCTGTTTCATGGATTTCAGAAATACAAGACAAAATCCACTGGATCATTTGATTCAGAAATGAAGGACAAAATTCATTGGTTACAGATACCATGTTTGTGCAGAGATGGGTGATTTTGGTTGTGTACCTATAAACATTCTCCATGGGGAAGTGGAACAGAATTCTTCCTCCGTAAGCCATGCGTGTTGTAAGAGGCGTCTAAAATGCCGGGAGCAAGGGGCTAGTAACCCCTTCTCCCGTATAAATTACTAAATTTAAGAGAAACTCTCGTTTTTCTTTTTGGGCCACCCTGCCTTGGTGGGATACGGCCGGTGTGTTGAAAGAAAGAAAGACCTATAAACATGGGCTTTCTGCATTCCCAACCCAATGTCATCCATCTCTGTACAAGCATTGTATCATGTAGATATAATGAACAGCTCTGTGACCAACAAATTTTATCCTTCATTTCTTGATTAAGTGGCCTAGAGGATTTTCCTGTATTTCTGAAATCCATTAGAGGTCCACTTGTTGAAAAAAAAAAAAAAAAAACTCCAAACCATTGCAAAATAGAGTACTACCGTATTTTCTGGCATATAAGGCACACAAGCATATGAGACATATAAGACAATGTTTTCAAGCAGTTGTAACGTAACATTAGTAAACAACTGCTAAAGCATAACCTAAAGCTTACCCTTGACCTTCACCATGAGCATATAAGGCACTGGCTGATTTTCCAAGACTTTTTTGTGGGGAAAAAAGTGCATTATACGTCAGAAAATACTGTACTCTATGAAAAAATAAAACACATTATTGACTCAGTGGGAGATGGCCCATGTGTTAATTTTTTTTATTATTCTTAACGTACTTCCTATTTATTTCCGTCTTACCCTACTTTCAGCTTTTAATTTTCAAAACCATTTCCACTAATCAATACTTCTATATATTATTAAATGTGTCAGTCACAATATTAAGTTATTAGTGTCAGTACATCTCTGGCAAGACAGTGATGGAGTGAGTGATGATGAAAGTGTTTCTTCTTTTCCAGGTCACCCTACCTCCGTGGGAAACGGTCGATGTGTTAATAAAAAATATAGAGTAGTATTAACAGTGTGTTGAGGAGGATGTGTTAAACACACATGGGTCATACAGAACCTCGGAATGGAAGGTAATCAGCTTTGATATGAGGATGGGGAAGGTAGCTCCAAATCCTTGGACCACGAGCCTGATCGCCTGAAAGTTCAGCCCTTAGAAGCCTTCCCCATACAAGGTCGTAATTTAAACTCTGAAAATATATTAGCTCTACTTTGCTTCTTCCAAGGTGGTAAGGATGAGGCCTTGATGTCAATAATGGGATCTTGATCCAAGGAATAGGCACTGTCTTCCTCTTCCTTGGATCATACCTGATTACACAGCACTAATGCTTCCCGTGAATATAATAATCCGCAGTCTATTTAGATGCAAAATGAAATCTATAGAAACAAATATAATGTCAAGTGTCAACCCATTCCTGTATAAACAATGTATCATGAAATAAACTTGAATTTGAATCTGTATTGGAACTAAAGTCAATGGAGAAACTGTATATTTAAACTGTAACTTTCTGAAGTAAAGATGAGCTTTACGTACCTCCTTTTCAATCAACGTCAGCTGCTGCTGAAGCTTTCTTGTGTAAAATACCTGAAAAATTTAAATATATATATTATGATGTTTTAACAGAAGAATCCAAGACACAAAGTTGTGGCTGAAACAATTAACAACCCACAAATTGGAGATAAATTTTGAGATAATGTTTTGGTCAGTGATGTACAACTTAAACAAACTATGATCAATTTCTTTAGTATTAAGTAGTCTGTAAGCCATTAAATTTAGTCTGCCCATAATGCCATGGCATGATAGTGGCTCTCTTTGCATTGCAACTCATTAATGTAATTACAGAATCTCAATGTAAACTTGCAAAGAAATAAAAATTGTATTGTACTGGACCGTTATCAAGTACCTAATTTGACTAGGTTCTATACACAAATGACAACTCATTCGGTCAAATGTAAAATAATATTGCGGCTCTGCATCTCTTTAGCAGCCACATTCTTTTTTTTCAAATATAACAATACTGTATCTTTTTTTATTAAAAAGAAAGGGAATTGAAAAGAGCAGAGAATGGTTTTGTCCCTTTAGATAAATATTATTATTTTCAATCTACAATACAACCCAAGTTACTGTTGGGCCTTAAGTTTAGTATGTTTTAAAATCCTCACCCTTTCAAATTCAAGTTTTTATTTCTTTTATGCAGTGCACAGATAATGTAGTTTACATTTAATAAATATTGTTAGGCATAAAAGAAAGACATTAGTATGAGATGCATTTTGGGTAGACTAGTCCAAGACAGAATTTTGGTGGTGGCTGCCACAATCTGGCCAGTATGACTGGGTCATACTGGCCAGGTTATGGCAGCGACCACCAAAATTACAGGTTATTTTTATATAGGCGGACTTGAGTTCTGGAAATGGGAAGAACAATGCCTGCACTTTAAAGGAGAGGTTTGGGATATCGGCAGTTTGGAGGGATATGTTGCGTATCTTTATACGTGTTTCTAAACTGTTGTATTCTGAGCACCACTGCAAAAACAGTGATTATGTGTGAGTGAGGTGAAAGTGTTGAATGATGATGAAAGTATTTTCTTTTTGTGGATTTTCTTTCTTTTTGGGTCACCCTGCCTCGGTGGGAGACGGCCGACTTGTTAAAAAAAAAAAAAACATAGTCCAAGATATATTATTATGTACCACAAACAGCACTACTTACATTATACTATTCAATGGTCTATTCCTACCTCGCCTACACTACTTGTGCCTGGGGAACCACAACAGCAAATCACCTAAAGCCAATAACAACTCAACAAAAAGCTGCAGTATGAATGATCACGAAGGCCACTGATAGACAACACACCTCCCACTCTTCAAAAACCCAAATCTACTCAATATACAAAACATTTACTACTACTGTGCATTCTACATATACAGAACAATAAATTCTAATATTAAGCTTAACCTGAAGCACTTCTTTGCCAATTGCAACAGGACCTACGGACATAATACTAGGCAAGGCACAAAAATCTTTTTGATATATCCCATGACTGGCTTCATCTTTGTAAGAACTCAATGTGCATAAAAGGACCCAAAATCTGTAACTCCCTCCCAGAAATCTCCTTAGTCCCCCTCTAAACAAACACCTTCTTTCCCTAATATATCCCAGCAACAACTGAATGTGAGAGAACTATATATCCATATTCTCACTGCCACAAACATATGAAAAACAATATAGTATTCTTATTCTTATAGTTATGGAAGGAGAAAAGAGAATATGAATGTGTAAATTCAAGAATTATGTGGATTAAAGTAAAGGTTGGATGCGAAAAGTGGGTCATAATAAGCGTGTATGCACCTGGAGAAGAGAGGAATGTAGAGGAGAGAGAGAGATTTTGGGAGATGTTAAGTGAATGTATAGGAGCCTTTGAACCAAGTGAGAGAGTAATTGTGGTAGGGGATCTGAATGCTAAAGTAGGAGAAAACTTTTAGAGAGAGGTGTGATAGGTAGTTTGGGGTGCAGGTGTAAATGATAATGGGAGCTCTTTGATTGAACTTTGTATAGAAAGGGGTTTAGTTATAGGTAATACATATTTTAAGAAAAAAGAGGATATAAATAAGTATACAAGATATTGTGTAGGGGCAAAAATGACAGGAGTTTGTGGATTAATGTATTGGTAGATAAAAGGAATGTAGAGTAGACTTAGGATGTACATGTTTATAGAGGGGCCACAGATACATTCAGATCACTTTCTAGTTGTAGCTACATGAGAGTAAAAGTAAGATGGATCCCGTCTCCACTCAGCATCAGAGAAGAGAAGAGGTGAAGATTTATGACTAAAAGAGGAGGCAGTTAGGGTAGACATAAACAGCTATTGGAGGGATAGTGGGCTAATGAGAGCATAGGCATTAGGGTCGAGAGGTATGGGGTAGGTTTAAAAAATGTAGTGTAGAGTGTTCAGCAGAAGTTGGTGGTTACAGGAAAGTGGGTGCGGGAGGAAGGAGGATGGTGGAAGATGATGTAAAGAGAGTAATAGGGAGAAAAGTTAGCATATGAGAAGTTTTTACAAAGTAGAAGTGATGCAAGGATGGAAGAGTATATGAAGAAAAGAGAGAGGTTAAAGAGTGGTGAAGCAATGTAAAAAGAGAGCAAATGCAGAGAGTGAGAGAGATGTTATCAACAAATTTTGTGAAAATAAAAAAAGTTTTGGAGTGAGATTAACAAGCTAAGTGGAAGCCTAGAGAACAAATGGATTTGTCAGTTAAAAATAGGAGGATGGAGAGTTATTAAATGGAGAGTTAGAGGTATTGGGAAGATGGAGGGAATATTTTGAGGAAATGTTAAATGTTTGTTGAAGCATAGGGAAGCTGTGATTTCGTGTATAGGGGCAAGGAGGAATAACATCTTGTATGAGTGAGGGAAGAGCCGTTGTGAGTGTGGAGAGAAGTTCGTGAGGCAGTAGGTAAAATGAAAGGGGGTAAGGCAGCCGGGATTGATGGGTGATAAGATAGAATGTTAAAAGCAGGTGGTGGATATAGTTTTGGAGTGGTTGGTGCAATTATTTAATAAATGTATGGAGGAGGGTAAGGTATCTAGGATTGGCAGGAGCATGCATAGTTCCTTTGTATAAGGCAATGGGGACAAAAGAGAGTGCAAAAATTATGGGGGATTAGTCTGTTGAGTATACTGGTAAAGTGTATGGTAGAGTTTATTATGAAAGACTTAAGAGCATGTCGGAGTATAGGTAGTAGATGAACAAGGGGCTTTAGGAAAGGTTTAAAGGGGTGTGTGGACCAGGTGTTTACGGTGAACGTATAAGTGAACAGTATTTAGATAAGGTAAAGAGGTCTTTGTGGCTTTATGGATTGGAATGGCATAGACGGGTGGATTAGGTGGGCAATGTGGAGATGTTGCAGGTTTATGGTGTAGGAGGTAGGTTACTGAAAGCAGTGAAGAGTTTTTATGAGGATTGTGAGGCTCAAGTTAGAGTATGTAGGCAAGAGGGAAAATTATTTCACAGTAAAAGTAGCCTTAGCAAAGGATGTGTGGATGTCACCGTGGTTGTTTAATTATTTATAGATGGGGTCTGTAAAGAGAAGTAATGCTGGGTCTTGGCAAGAGGCGGGGAGTTAAAAGATAAAGAATCACACATAAAGTGGGAGTTGTCACAGTTGCTCTTTGCTGATGACACTGTGCTCTGGGAGATTCTGAAGAGGAGTTGCAGAGATTGGTGATTGTGAATTGGTAGGGTGTGCAAAAGAAGAAAAATTAAAGCTGAATACAGAAAAATAAGGTTATGAGGATCAACAAAAAGATTAGGTGTGAATGATTGGATATTAGGATTGGAGGAAGAGGAGTATGGAGGAGGTGATGTATTCATGATATTTGGGAGTGGACGTGTCAGCGGATGGGTCTATGAAAGATTGAGGTGAATCATCGAATTGATGAGGGAGGAAAGGGTGAGTGGTGCACTTAGGTGTCTGTGGAGACAACAAGAACTTTGTCTTGGAGGCAAAGAGGGAATGTATGAGATATAGTTTTACCAATGCTCTTATATGGTGTGAAGCATGGGTGATGAATGTTGCAGCGAGGAGAAGGCTGGCGGCAGTGGAGATGTCATGTCTGAGGGCAATGTGTGGTGTGAATATAATGCAGAGAATTTGTAGTTTGGAAGTTAGGAGGAGGTGCGGGATTACCAAAACTGTTGTCCATAGGGCTGAGGAAGGGTTGTTGAGGTGGTTCGGAGATGTAGAGAGAATGGAGCGAAACAGAGTGACTTCAAGAGTGTATCAGTCTGTAGTGGAAGGAAGGCGGGGTAGGGGTCGGCCTAGGAAAGGTTGGAGGGAGGGGGTAAAGGAGGTTTTGTGTGTGAGGGGCTTGGACTTCCAGCAGGCATGCGTGAGCGTGTTTGATAGGAGTGAATGGAGACAAATGGTTTTTAATACTTGACGTGCTGTTGGAGTGTAAGCAAAGTAACATTTATGAAGGGGTTCAGGGAAACCGACAGGCCGGACTTGAGTCCTGGAGATGGGAAGTACAGTGCCTGCACTCTGAAGGAGGGGTGTTAATGTTGCAGTTTAAAAACTGTAGTGTAAAGCACCCTTCTGGCAAGACAGTGATGGAGTGAATGATGGTGAAAGTTTTTCTTTTTCGGGCCACCCTGCCTTGGTGGGAATCGGCCAGTGTGATAATAATAATAAAAAATTCTCAATACATGTATTTGTATTCCTCACAACCATTAAAACACTGAATGTGTACACAATATGTTAATATGCTAGAGTCCTCATTACCTATAATTATAATCCAACCTGTAATTCTTAAAACAAGTGAACTTGATAAAAGCCACGATCTGTTTGTGACTTGATAAAGCCCACTGTGTGAGCAAAATGTTGTCAAAGAAGAATCGCAATATACTGCATATGTGCACACTTTTCCATCATTTTCGTACTTTATACCACCGATCTTTATTTAAATCTAACCAAATCTGGGTTAAGAAACAGAAACACACAAACGGTAAGGACAACTGCAATAACGAAAATTAAGATACACGTGCAACATCTGGGTATCTTTATTGTAGACGTTTCACCATCCAGTGGCTTTATCAATACAAATTCAAGGACCTGAATGGAAGATAGTAGAACTATATACAAAAGATGAGGTAATCAGTCCCTCAGTCTTGGAGTTGGGGTGAAGAGCACTGTGGTCATGAAGATTCTACCAGAATCTTCATGATTTCCTTGCTCTTCACCCCAACTCCAAGGCTAAGGGACTGATTACCTTCTTTTTGTATATAGTTCTACTATCCTCCATTCATATCCTTGAATTTGTATTGATAAAGCCACTGGATGGCGAAATGTCTACAATAGGTACCCAGATGTTGCACATGTGTCTTAATTTTCATCTTGTCTGTATTGTACACCATTCATGTGCAACTGCAATAACCACTAGCCAAACCTGCCCACATATCTAATTCTTCAGTAGTCTGTAAGCATAAGATTAGTTTGCCTGAAATGCACCATATGCTAGTGGATTTCTTTTGTGCTTAACAAAATATATATTATATATATATATATATATATATATATACACCTACCATCCGACTTACAACTGAGTTCGGTTCCGAGAAACCGGTCGTAAGTCGAAATGGTCGTAAGTTGAACTTTACTACTGAATATCAACAAAACATTTTTGTAATGACTATTTTGTTTTATTTTGGTATTTCATGTTTTACTTTACTTTTTATGTTGTTAGTACTGTATTTTATACTGTAAGGTTTAGGATAAACACTGTGTACAATACAAATAGTTGTTTATTTCCCAGAAATTTGGCATAAAAAACCCCGGTCGTAAGTCGAGTGGTCGTAAGTCGGATGGTAGGTGTGTATATATATATATATATTATATATATATATATATATATATATATATATATATATATATATATATATATATATATATATATATATATATATATATATATTATATAATTTTCTTTTTTTTTTTCAACAAGTCGGCCGTCTCCACCGAGGCAGGGTGACCCAAAAAAAGAAAGAAATCCCCAAAAAGAAAATACTTTCATCATCAATTCAATACTTTCACCACACTCGCACATTATCACTGTTTTTGCAGAGGTGCTCAGAAATACAACAGTTTAGAAGCATACACATATAAAGATACACAACATATCCCTCCAAACTGCCAATATCCCAAACCCCTCCTTTAAAGTGCAGGCATTGTACTTCCCATTTCCAGGACTCAAGTCCGACTATATGAAAATAACCGGTTTCCCTGAATCCCTTCACTAAATATTACCCTGCTCACACTCCAACAGATCGTCAGGTCCCAAGTACCATTCGTCTCCATTCACTCCTATCTAACACGCTCACGCACGCTTGCTGGAAGTCCAAGCCCCTTGCCCACAAAACCTCCTTTACCCCCTCTCTCCAACCCTTCCTTTACCCCCTCTCTCCAACCCTTTCGAGGACGACCCCTACCCCGCCTTCCTTCCCCTATAGATTTATATGCTTTTCATGTCATTCTACTTTGATCCATTCTCTCTAAATGACCAAACCACCTCAACAACCCCTCTTCTGCCCTCTGACTAATACTTTTATTAACTTCACACCTTTTCCTAATTTCCACACTCCTAATTTTCTGCATAATATTTACACCACACATTGCCCTTAAACAGGACATCTCCACTGTTGTTGTGTATCTTTATACGTATATGCTTCTAAACTGTTGTGTTCTGAGCACCTCTGCAAAAACAGTGATTATGTGTGAGTGAGGTGAAAGTGTTGAATGATGATGAAAGTATTTTCTTTTTGGGGATTTTCTTTCTTTTTTGGGTCACCCTGCCTCTGTGGGAGACGGCTGACTTGTCGAAAGAAAAGAAAAAAAAAAAAAGATATATATATACGTATATGTGTGTGTGTTCAGTATATTTGACTGATACACTGAACATATTGACTCCAGGCTGAGGGACTGATTATCTCAACTCCTCCTCATCTTCCCCAGTTTCTCTGCACTGGACTGAAGAAGCTAGTGGCTGGCGTAACGTTTCCAGAATAAAAGATTCCCAAGTGTTGCAAAAAGTGTCTTATTTACCATCAGTAAAAAAAAATATCTCACCAGCCAGTCATCGCTCCAGGAGTTGTCTTGAGGAAGGTAGCCACAACAAGTAGTCACAGGGAAACCAAACTGGCTCACATAAGTCGGAGTGACCTCGCTGGCGCTCACAACATTACCCGTCTTCTCAAGGTTAATATTGTGGAGATGTAGACTGCAAAGAGGTTAGAAGTTTCAATAGAAATACAGGCATACCTCATTAGTACAGTGCTCACTGTAGAGTGCTTCACTAATATGGAGCTTTTCAATCACATTAAGTCGTAAACTTACAAACACATTGGAGACCTCCTGAATTGTGTAAAATAACGATATTATACACAATATAGAAGATTGTCGACATGTTTGTAGGTCTTCAGACTTGCTGTATATTCATGTTTATTATCTTCAACACTTGCCTTGCTCTTAAGATGGTTGATAACAATTAAAAAAGTTTCTTATTCTTACTCTTGTATTTTTTTTTTTTTGAGGCCTAGTGCATCCTGAATAAATGATAGTGAAAACAATTTTAGGCTTTTATATGCACTGTCAAGTGAAAAACAAGGCTGTGATATGCTTTAAAGTGATATTTGGTTTCTGACGGTGGTCTGCAGCCTAACCTGTCATATTAGTGAGGCATGCATGTAAATGATATTAATTAAGAATAAAAGGTTTATAATTAATCTTATTGGCATCTGTACATTTATTACACTTTTAAGGGTAGGAAAATGCCTTAATATTCATAAAGGACACTTGACCCAATGACAAAGAGCTACTTTTCCTTTCAAATAAATGCTCTTTTTACCACATAACATTATTTTGATCAATAAATTTAGGAAAACATGTTGAAAGTATACTGGGCGAAAGAGTTAGCATTTACCATAATTTATAACAATGACAAAAGGTTAATTTCCAAAAGATGTATGTTTCACTTTACAGCAATTTTCACTTACAGCAGTAGCCTGGAACCTAACCTGCTGTATAAGTGGGGTCCTACAGTAGCCTGGAACCTAACTTGATGTATAAGCGGGACCATCCTGTGGCCTGAAACCTAACCTGCTGTATAAGCAGGGCCCAACAATATCTTACTTGGCCAACTGCTTTCCAAGGATCCCTGCATGACGATTCAGGCTATGCATGTCAAGGTACTCCATGACAAGCACTGCACCACCAGCTGGATTATCTACCACCACATGAGGTGTTGGGACCTTGACTGTTCCTGTAGCAGCTATTGCCTTCAAGCTTTCGTATTCCCCGTCAAACATCTCTCGAGCCTGCAGACAAAATCTTAGATAAAAGCTGCTATTGTTTTCAAGCTTTTGTATTCCCGTCAAACATCTCTTGAGCCTGCAAACAAAGGAGAGGCTGTATATATAATGTTTCACCTCATGAAAATGAAACATTTTACTAATAAAGGCCTCCTTTTGCTGTGTCATTTGAACCACTTGCCAGCAAGGCCATACTTCAGCTATTAAAAAAGACCAAATTAAATACAATATTATTGCTACTGTATTATATATCTTCTTGAGTCTTCACAATTACATTATTAAAACATATAAATTTCTAACCATCTTCTTTGAGTTTCTCTTGACAAAGACTTTTCCAGTGTCAGTCTTGTAGACTTCACCCTCACTGATGCAGCCGCCACCTCCAGCCCCTGTGCCTTCTAGACGCTGTGTGCCGAGAGCCTCTTTAATTGCAGCAAACATCTTGTAAACCCTTGCAAGAAAGATTAATATCATTATTCAATACTTTTCTTAATAATTTCAACTGTACAATCGAAAATACATTATGTTCTCAATATAGTGGACTAATAGGAGGATTGTCTGAATGTCTTTTAAATTAGAATAACTTTTAAAATAGCAAAACCTGCCCTTAAGTATTCTTCTGCATACTTAATATAGTATTGTACTGTACTTATTTCACAGATATACTACAATAAATTCTGAAAATAAACGAGTTAAAAACAATCTAGTTAGTGCATGATGTAAATGGCAAGAAAACTAACAAGATAAAGAGTGAGACACTTATTCAACATTTGCATTTGTGGTCACAGTGGTGCTTATACTAACCTTCCTATGGTGTATAAATATACCTAGTTGGGTGAATCTTATTGTAGCCAGCTGGTTCAGTGGCTAGTGTGTCAGACTGAAGTCTTACGACTCTCTGACCACGGGTTCTTTCCCTCCACATAGTATGGTTTACTTATTCAACACTTGAGAATCTTTACTGTGAAAATGTTTTGCCTGCCAGTGGCTTCTTTTCTTGTACTGGACTGAAGCCATTGGTTGACAAAATATTTCCACAGTAAAGATTTCCAACTGTTGGACAAGTATCTCATTACACAAATAACCCGCACATAAAAGAGAGAAGCTTACGACGACGTTTCGGTCCGACTTGGACCATTGACAAAGTCACACGGACCATTGACAAAGTCACACAGTGTGATTTTGTCAATGGTCCAAGTCGGACCGAAACGTCGTCGTAAGCTTCTCTCTTTTATGTGCGGGTTATTTGTGTATCGTTCCAGTCATGGTATTGTGCCTTTTTTTGTTATTTATGTTAAGTATCTCATTCTTCAACCTAGTTAGTGGATGTTGCTCGTTAGTTCAAAAGTCTGTTTTATCATGTACTTGTAGATATAAAGATTATTATTTTTATTTTTTATTTCTAAATTTTTTTTATGAGACCCTATTCTCTGACCCTGACCTCCCTTGAGGGTTTAGGGTCAGACGCCCTGGAGAACGGGAGGTAATCTGGTTTGATCCAAGGGAGAGGATAGCTCCAGTTCTTTGGATCAAGAGCCCTTCTCCGGCGTCAAGACACCTCCTTTACAGAGTATATGTCTGATATAAAAATTTGATTGCTGTAAATTGATAAAAAAAAAAAAAAAAAAATCCATTAATCCCCTGCGTCAACTTGAGGAACCTGTAATATCCATCATTTTAGCAGCATTTTAAAGTATGACACACAAAGATACATTAATACATCTGTAGTCTGTGAAATTCAGATGCTTTACTACCATAAACCAACTAGATTCCCTTAGAAATAAGTATAAAAACGAAGAAAATACCCGAAGCACCAAACTCCTTGTTGTTGTTGTTGTTGTTGTTATTGTTATTGTTGGGTTGTAGGGCTGCGAGGGTCCAGGGCCGTACGAGTCTCCCTCCCGGGAGGTTCGGAATTATGAACCCGGTGACCAGATACGATAATTACTCTTGTTATTATCATAATTAAGCTCTAAATCCACAATGGTCATACAGCACTGACGAGATAAGATAACATATGATAGAATTTGTTGGGATTTTTAACCCGGGGGGAAGGTTAGTCACCCAAGATAACCCAAGAAAGCCAGTGCGACAACGAGGACTGTCTTTCTTATTTCTATTTAATACCGTGTTCCCAATAGTCCTCGGTAGTATAGTGGTAAGTATCCCCGCCTGTCACGCGGGAGACCGGGGTTCGATTCCCCGCCGGGGAGGGATCTTTTAAGAACCCCATTGGAAATAAGTCACTTTAATAATAATAATATCTTTATTTCTACAAGTACACTTACAATGCATACAGGCCTATCTGACATCGTTAATATACCATTATATAGAAAGTCTCTGGTTATGCAGAGCATATCGGGCAAATTAAATCAATTTTGTCCCCAGGATGCGACCCCACACCAGTCGACTAACATCCAGGTATCTATTTTAATAGGTGAACAGGAACAGCAAGTGTCTTAAGAAAATACGTCCTAATGTTTCCACCTTTACCGGGAATCGAACCACAGACCTCAGTGTGTGAGCCGAGTGTGCTAGCAGTCGAGGTACGAGACGATAAGATTTTGTGAGGATTATTAACACAGATAACCCAAGAAAGTCAGTGCATCATCGAGGACTGTGTCTTATTTCCATTGTGGTCCTTCAGTCTTGTTCCCTAGGATGCCAGCCACACCAGTCGACAAACTCCCAGGTACCTACTTACTGCTAGGCGAATAGGGACAGCAGGTGTAAGTGACTAACACCCAGGTCACCAGTCATACTGTATAGGTCTGTGGCTTGGTCGATCCCCACATTAATAAATTGGACTGTATCTTCAAAACTTACGAGCTCCTTATCGAAGTCCGTCAAATATTTAAGGTCACCCGAGTGTTACAGGTGCGCATGACTTATAGTACCCAAAGACAATGAAAGGTGTTTAGCCAAGGTCCTGGTTAGGTTATATGAGGCATTAACAGTCCCTAAAGTGTAATGAACACTTGTCCCATGATTAGTGGAGAGAGGTTCGATCCTTCAACCCTTCTTACTCTAAGTAACCCACACGGGTTTAGCATTTTATAAAGTCATTCATGGAAGGAGATAGTATCACTCATTTAAGGTACCTATTTACTGCTAGGTGAACGGGACAGTAGGTGTTAGGAGACTTGCTCATGCTTTGTCCCGCCCAAGATTCAACCGGGTTCTTTCGGTTGAGTAGATTACGTTACTCCTGAGCCAGACACACAGTGAGAAAGGCAAGTAGGGCATGCAGGTGGGCAGGCTCGGGTGGGTGGGTGGGTGGGTGGGTGGGTGGGTAGGTGGGTGGGTGGGTGGGTAGGCAGGCAGCAGGCAGGCAGGCAGGCAGGCAGGCAGGCAGGCAGGCAGGCAGGCAGGCAGGTAGGCAGGCAGGCAGGCAGGGGCACCACGAAAGCCAAGTGCGACGTAGACAAGTGCTGAGGCCTGGGGTACGCACGAGAGAGTGGGATCAACAAACAATTCGTCAATTAATTTCTAAGAACTACTTGCCAGGCTTCCTACCTAGTTTAAAATCGGTAGACGAGTGAGGAAGCCAATTTTTAATTCAAATTCACTTTAAGCAGGTTTATTATTATATCTAAGGGAAAGAGTTAAACATGTAAGGGCCAAACAACGCCTGGGGAATGGGAAGCAATGAAGTTCGAGCCAAAGAGAAGGAGCACAGATCCAATTCGGTGAAACACGTGAGCAGCATCAAGGAACCCCATTGATGAATGAGTGAAACGTCGAAAAAAAGATATATTTTCCCCTGCTTAAAGTGTCTTTGAATTACCTCGTAATTTAAAGTCAGTAGAAATGCTGACGCTGTGGGGTCGTCACACTCAGGATTTTCATCAGTAAGTTCGGAGATTCAGGCTACGAAGTGGAGATAACTAGTGTTCAGTCCCCGGAAGGAGGTACGATTTCGATGCCTGGAATCATATCTGAAAGTAGTTAAAATCATGACTGAAGCACATTATCCCATGTGATGGTAGCACCCGTGTACTTATTCTATAAGTGAGAAATCGTAGGGGGGATCGAACCGACGCCCCACAGGTGGTAAGGCAGACATGTTATCCACTTCTATATAGGTATTCAAGGCGACCAGGATTTCTTGAGTTCGGCGGGTTGTAGAGCGCCCAGGAGTAGCGTTTAAGTTTCCTATTCACACATCTGATACCTACTTCGATTCCAGGTATCATTTGTTCTCACCTCACATTACTGCCAGTACTAGCTGGAAGTTCATATTGTGATGAATGTAAAGATATATAATTCTCCATGATGCCTTCATTACTGTATTGTTGTAGTCACGATGGCATGAAGTTCCTATATAAAGAAAACACTGATTTCTTCTGAGCTCCGCGAGACTTGAGTGTCGGGATCGTTGCCCGAAGTATAAGTGGACATCCGTTTTCAGCCCAAAAAAAAAAAAAATGAGATTTCATATTATTTTACACACCAGTTGCGTAGTGGTATATATATATGAGATGACTGTACGACACACTAGCAGTGGAATTACAGAGATTTATTGCTGAAACAGTTTTATTGCCTAAAATTGCCTTCCAACTCCACCATTAATCCCCATGACAAATGAAACCTTCGTGAGTCATGTAAGGGGTTTGGAATCCTTGGAGGGTCTTCTCACATTAGCCTTCAAATGCACGACAGAACTGATGGATTAGTAAATTCATATGCCTTCAAGGAGGGCGTAGAATGCAACTATTGGGCTATGCCCAATATGCCTCTATAATCCTTTGACAGCCACTCACAGGAAGGGTACTAGGTGTTTTCTAATGCTATTAAAGTAAATAACTAAAGTCTTCCAGGGAGGTCATCTGTGGCGCTCTGTCACTCTGCACAGCAACAGTCTATTGTTTACAATCACGAGTTAGAAATCTTTGAGACCTTGAAAGAACGGCATCTGAGCTTTGTTGAATGTTGTGGGACCTTGATAGAACAGCACCTGAACTTGGTTGAATGTAGTGAAGAGCAACCTACGCTGGAGTTGAAGAGCACTGTACGGTGCTCTTCAACTCCAAGGCTGAGGGACTGATTACCTCATCTTTTGTATATACTTCTACAGTCTTCCCATTATGTCCTTGAATTTGTATTGGTAAAGCCACTGGAGGGCGAAACGTCTGCAGTAAAGTTACCCAGATGTTGCACATGTGTCTAATTTTTAAATGTTTCTGTTGGGTGTTCAAGAATTCTCAAACTTATTATTTTTTGCGCATTAATTCCTTTTCTCATTCATTTTATATTTATAAGAGATATTTCATTTATTTATATTGATCTCATTCTTCCATTGCTTCAGGCATGATTTTTTCCTTCCTTAAAATTCTAGGTCACTGGTGGCAACAAATACAAAAGATAAATGCTAAGTCGGAGGACGATGAAAGAAAAGGAAGGAGAAATAGAGTAAAGATGGGAGGTAGAAGCACATACAAAGCAGGTAAC